CACTATCGAAAGAGTCTCGATCTAGAAAATTGAATGACGAAAAGTGACTTAAACTTTTGATTCCTACTTTAGTTTACTTTGAATTGTAAACAAGACATCTTTCCACGAAAACGAGAGCTTCTTATATAGTATGCAAGCACACACATAGTTGGAGTCTGTTAAATAGATCTTATGTAATCTTGTAAAATTGTCAAGATGTTATTACAAAAAAAGATACCTAGATAAATTTCTTTCGAAAATCCCTGTTAGGATCGAGACTGAGTGATATCTATAGTAATCGTAACGGCTGGCCCAGGTTAAATGTTACTCTCAGGATTTTTTAAATATGTTTTCCAAATTTCAATGTGTAGACCTGTATTTTTTTTAAAGATTCGCTTTTAGATGCCCCACAAAAGCAGAGCTTTTTTACTAACATAAATAACAACCGTTATTTTTCGACAAGCGATGCTATCATTTAGTCTAAGATATGCAACTTTCAAACGCAACTGCCGGTCGAATTTTTTTAACAGATCGTTTAAGTTCTTCAATTAGAGTTTTTTTTACATTCGACTTTATCCCAATGGATAACGCGAGCAAACTCATCCAATATTGAATAATCCAAAGGATTTAAATCAGGGCTATTAGGAGGCCAATGATCTTTGTCAATGAATGCTCGAAAATTGTCTCGACACCACTGTTGCGTTAAATAATGAATGTGCGGTTTTGCACCATCTTGTTGGAAAGTCCATTGATTTCCGTAGACTTGAGCACCATATTCGAGTGTGATGGGAAGCACCTCTCGGATATATCTTGCATGATCTACCAAACCTTCTTCAAAAATAGCCAAAGGTGAAACCCCCTTGGAACAAGCTCCCAACCAAACCATAACTTTTTGTAGGAACGAAGACCCAGATCGTTTCTGAGTATTCGCTGAATACTCGTTCTCGAAATACCAAGACTATTAGCTAGTTTTCGACATGAGATCGGTTTCTTTTTCTGCAATCGGTTTATTACCTTTTCGATTGCTGCCTTTGTTCGAATAATACGTGGGCATCCTGGTGGACTCGAGAGTTGTATAGAACTCGTGTCATGGATCATTTTGCACCACTAAGATCACGAAATATTTTCGTCGGGCCCTCGCCTTTATCGTACTTTGAAAAAACGATCTTTTGAAGATCTTTACTTTTCATGATTTTGAGAATGACGAACAAAACTGCTCAGCAGATGAAGGATTGGTTCTTGTAGAGCGTTAAACCGGGAATGTTTAAAAAGAAAGAAAAGTCTAAACGAACGAAATTTGGCCAAGATGTCGCAGAAATACTGAGAGCAACATTTATCCTGGGCCACCCGTTATGTATATAAGAAAAGCAAGAGAACGAACATATGGAGAAGACCTATATTATGAGTCATCTTATAGTACATCATATTACGTGCCATAACAATTCTATGAGTAGTTCAATATTTGCTTTAATGATTGCAGCTGCCGTTTTGAAGATTTCTTCAATTCCATGAACCTGATGAAAGTATGAAGTTGTACATTTACCATCCATCGCTGTTATAAACTGTTCAATTAATTGTTTTGATCACGAATAAACTGCGTACCTTAGTGGTCGAATTTGACCAACGCTGTTGAAGAAAACTAACGTCACCATCGTGTAGAGCAAGGTCGAAATCGCTAGAAATGTGTTGGTTTTATCCTCTTGGTTATACGTTTTTCTATGGAAATCAATCGTGCAACGAATAGAAGTCTCAACAGTTAGGAATGGATCAAATTGTGACGTATTCTAATTTTGAATCGTTTTCTATAAGCAAACAATTCTTTTTCGAAACTTTTTACATGAACTCATACTACTCCTAACAGAGTATGTGACTGTAAAAAGATACTTATGATTCGCTAGTTTCTCTTCAAGTTATCTATGTATGTAAACCCAGTACATTAATGAAGGTGATTCCGTCACGAAATCTAGCATTAATCCATTTCTATTGGTATGTGAGTTGATTTCTTTTCCCCCAAAGTAACATCCTCAATACACTTTTTCACGCTCTATATGTTGCTATAGTTAGAAGCTTTTTGAAACGTTTTCGAAGGTTACAAACTATGTAACGGAATCACGACCAAACAGCGTGATTTATATAATGAAAAATAATGAGACCTTTTTTTTCTTAGAAACTTACTTTATGATAGATTTGAATTGTAGAAAAGTATTTAAAAAGACTTACCGTTTGTTCCAAAAGCTTTTCCTTGCTAGTCTTGATATGGTTATGAAAGCTTCTATCAAAGGTATATAACCATATGGGTAATAAGTATTGATAGTATTCTTTTTCTTAGACAGAGGACTTATTTTCAAACATGATATTTTTCATTTTATTCCCTCGACTGTAGAGAGGGTCATGTGAAATAAAATAGTTTGTCTGTCTGTTTGTGTCAGGGTCAAAGGTCAAAGGTCAAAAAACATTTTTTTCCCACAATCATTCAACACATTGAAAACTTCTAGTGTGCTGGTCGTAGAACGAGGGTGGATGAAGGGTGAAGGCGGGGGACTGAGGGTGGGCTTTTGTGGTGAAACTATGGGTGGACGTTTGAACGTGAGTGGGGGTCTTAGATGAAACTATGGGTTGATGTCTAAGCGTGGGTGACCGTTGATTGGTTCTTTTTTGGGGTGGGTGTCTAGAGGTAGGTGGCTGGAATCGGTGATCGGCGGATCGGTTTCCTCAGTAAAGGATTTTATGCAGGTCATGTGTTCAGTTCTTGTGGGGTTGGTTTTAATGGAATATGAAGCTGATTGGGGGTTTGGGATGGCTAAGAGTGGTGTCAGAAGACAGTAGAAATGGCTAGTTGTTCCAACTTTTATGCAACTGCAACTGATCTTGGGAGTAATAAAAGAGCGACGAATAAATAATCGTATGTATTACCGTAGCTAAATGCACTGAAGGCAAACAATAGAGATATCGAAAGATACATTCACTAGACTCAGACTTGTCAAATGTAACCCTAATTCATTGAATTAAACCTGTTCAATATATGGAAATTTGACAAAGACAAAGAAAGAAAACTGATACGAGTAAGTAATGAATGTTGTTGGTGTTCGTAGTAAATTTGTATTAATGGTAAAAGTATTCTTTTGTAGTTGAGTGTTTGTTTCAGTTGGACTCATAAATGGGAGTTAGAGATGCTTTTTCGCGGAGTTGCCTATTTCTGGATGGAATGGCGACTGGTCTCGTGGTAGTGAAGTTGATGGGCAGAAGTATGTAGATGAGGATGAGGATGCCTGGAAAATGAGATTGACTTAGGGCATACTAAGATTGCTGTTGGACGCTCTATATTTTTGACTCTTGTGTATGCTTCGTGGCGCATTTGATATGTTGTGGTATGGTTGTGATTTTGTTCGATTGAAGTGGCTCTAGTGCTTATTGTATTGCGTCATCGTTTCTTTCTTCTTATTGCATATTGTATTGCTAATATAAAATTGAGGTTTTTTATGCCTCTACAAAAAGAGTAGGAAAAATTCAGTATTTTGTTTTCGAAAGTTACTAAATATATCTTCGCAAAACATTCGAATTGTTTCTTCGTGTATAAAAAATTGTTAGATCAATTTGTGCCACATTGCGGACACGAAAAAATACCTGTTCTCCACAGTCGAGGGTTAAGTGAGTCGGCACGGCGAGCGCTACTTGTATCTAGAAAAAAAATAAAAAATTCAAGCAAATCAAGAATACGATGCTCCTTAAGGTCTCACCATATTAAAAACAACAAATAGTGGCACGAAAAAGTATGATTTCGAATGATATCACGATTTACTTCTTCCTCTACCTTTTTTTATCTGGAGTTCAAATATATCTTTTTAATTCTCGAGATTTATCCAAGTTTCATCATGATCGTACGAATAAACATTTGCTTCCCTAAACTCTTCTAGGATTCGAAAATATGTCGCTCCTCCTGTAATGACTCATGTAAAAAGGAGTTGTGAAAATCGTGTCATTTAAATCGATTTGTCATAAACGCTATGATTTTTAGAATTTTTCCGCATTGGAAAAGCATGCGAATTCAAAGCAATTTTTATGTTTGACTTGCACTGATATATGAAACCAAGGCGAAAAATTATCAAATGCTGCGCAGCGTTTTTCTTTCTTTCTTGTTTGAATGTGGATAATATTTCACTTAAGTTTTTCATTTTTTATACAATGTACTTGTTGAACGAATTGGAAAATCTTCATTGTGGTCAGACAATATTTTCAGCAAATTCTCCGAACTCGGATGCACTTTTTAAAATTAGTCTATGGAACTCAAGTCCAATTAAATCTTTCCCTTGCTCAGACAAAACAATGTTCGGACGATCAGAAAACACCGAAACGAAAAGACTTAACTTGTAAACTATTTAAATGAAAAATATCATACTTCTCCTCAGAGGAAACTATACTACAAGAACAAGATGCTCGTATATTAGATATTAGGTACATGGTGGCGCGACTAATAAGTTTTTTTACAGATGTTTGTTTTGTTTTCCCCTTCTATCTTTTGTTGTTCCTCTAGTATTTTCCTCAATTCTTTACATTTCAAATGGTGTAACTCATGCATTAATCTCATGTAACAGTGAATTTTGATTCCTCAGAAATAAAATAAGTATAAAGTAAATTTCCAGAATGTTCAAATATAATGGAATCAAACAAACGATCTTGGAAATTCAATTAACTTATTATTAATAGTGAACGTAGTCTATCACTTATATTTAGTAAAGAACATAAGTTTAGTGTGCGTGACATAGATTTAACTAAGTTTCCAAACGAAATAAATTATAATATAGAGTGCATTGAGAGTGGTTCATTTAACTTAATGCTAAATATTAAGTATTAAGCTTTTTCCGCTACAAATCAATTTCAATGAATTAAGTCGAGTACAGTTAAGTGACCTACCCCTAGGTATGATGAATTTTTATGAGCTCACGAAAAGTCAGCGACATATTACAAATTGATATTGCTTGAAACTACAGATTTTCCACCTCTAAATGTTGAGCTCACTTTTCTCGAGTAATTCTGACCAATTCTCGCAGAATCACAATAGCTAGTAATGTTGAGACTATGTTTTTCTACCAAAATATCAGAGATGATTACTTTTTGCTGCAGAGAACGTATTGATAACTCACTCCCATGGTATCACTGTGAAACTATTTAAATATTAACAAATTTTAAATACAAATTCTAATATGAAAACAGTAAATTTTAGTCCACTTTACTAATCTGTTCATATAGTATCGTCGTTTTTATAGTCTGATGCTTTTCACTTATACCAAAGAATTATTTCGAATTAAAATAGATCAGATTTATCAAATGTAAAGAAAAGCATATTTTTATTGAAAAAACCACTGCTAAAGCATAGGTAGATATTATTCAACATATCTGTCACTTAAAGTTCTTGCTCAAAAGCTTTTGATAGAAACGTTTGCTCATTCTCGATGTTAACACATTAGAGGCGACAGACCAAAATGAAAACTATTACCATTAGAAGTTATACATTACCATTCACAGTAAATCGAGCTATGCAAATGACCGCAATTGAGACTCCCCTATTGGGCCACAATTAAACATAAATATATCAGTTCTACTTGATACGTTTCTAGTTGAAGTTTTCCAAACGACTCTTTTATGATGAGACGAGTACTGCCAATATACTTCCCAGAACGGAAATGATACAGAAGCAAATGACTATTACACAATGTAATTTATAAAAAACTCTATCAGTCAAAGAAGAAACAACAAATCTTATGACTACAGATGTGTGCGAAATCGGGGAGTTCTTAAAAATGGATTTCAGAACTCTGTACACATTTAGAGTCCCAATATCCCAAAGTTTACCGTTTCTCCCTTGCTATTAGTTTTGCATAAGATGATATCAAGAGATTCGTCCTTCAGAAGATTCTATATATCTTGGAGTTTCATCTTCTGTTCTCGAAATAAAAAATTCTAGTTCATCATTTGTGATTATGACCTGCATGTAGAGTACGGATGCCAGCAACAGAAACACACATTTATCCGAATCTGCAACATCATTCTCACTATCATCCACACAATCACATACGCTCTCACTCTCACTGGAATTCGAATCAAGATACGAGAGATGCTCATTATTATAGTAATAGTTTTATTTTTGTTCTTCTGATACGAGTGAATTAGCAACAAACCAGATTATAAATGTCTCTCACGAGAGAACATATCCAACTGTCGGACGCCGATCGATCCCATATTTAAGCCATGAGTGAGCCTCAATGAGGCTAAGAAAACCCTAAAGGGATTCGGCCCCATGGCTTATTAGACATGAGTTATGGCTATCTTACGGAATCTTCGACCCATCTGCAGTTATTCGCGGGAGAGTTAAATGGTGAGCTTTTAATCTGAAATTTTGTCTGGAGATAGATCTTACTATGACTAAGATGCTTTAAAAATTTCAGTTCGATCTTATATTCCTTGCTCGAAATATTGGATCTTAAACAATTCGTCGTTCATCATACACTTGTGTCAAAAATCGAGTTTACCTGGAACTGGAATATTTCGAGCAAGGAATGTAAGATCGAACTGAAATTTTTAAAGCATCTTACGAGGGAACCTCTCGAGGTGATAAAAGCCTTTAGGGCTCATCTTTTAGCAATAGATAGACCTCTATGAGGTATGAAAAACTTCGAGAGGATTCGTCCCCTTATGCCTTCTATCACAAGTTAGGGATACTTTACTGAAATTTGTGCCTGTAGGGCGGTAGCTTCTAACAGATCAAATGTCGACTTTTGAAGCTGAGATTTTGTCCACAGACAGGTCTATTGGTAAGTAGAGCACTCTGAAAATTTCAGCTTTAAAGAACATTTTCTTCTCGAGATATTAAAGTCGAAAAATCAACGAGTAACTTCTCTAGTTGTCGTAGAATGTGAGTAGTTTTGAACCTTTAGTATCTCAAGAAGAAAATGTTCTTTAAAGCTGAAATCTTCAGGGTGCTTTACTTACCAATGGACTTATCTATAGACAAAATTTCAGCTTCAAAAGTCGACATTTGATTTGTTCGTACGTACCGCGCTACAGGCAAAAATTTCAGTAAAATACCTATTACTTGTGACAAAAGACATAAAGGGACGAATCCTCTCGAAGTTTTTCATACATCATAGAGGTCCACCTATTGCCAAAAGGTGAGCCCTAAAGGCCTTTATCACCTCGAGATGTTCCCTCGTAAGTGAAGAGTATTGAAATACAAAAACATTTGTCCGAATACAAATAGAATCATCTTTTGTATGATTGTATAATTTACGATTTTTTACGACAAAATTAGATAATGTTGAATGCGAGAAAAACATACAATCATTACAGAATAATATGTCTTTTATTGACATTGTGTTTAACTTTGGTGATTTATACAGGTAAAAGAATATAAATCTTGAGATTATACATATCATCATATTCTGTATTTAGTTTATTGTGGCATATTAACAACGGATACTTATATTCTGGTCAGTTTGAGCGATGTACATAAAAATATCAAATTTACTAGTAAATCAATCTATTTACTCAATGGAGTTGCTTATGATTTTTATTCAATTGAGGAAATAAAAAGTGATTCGGGACCTCGTTCACAATGGAAAACATTTTCATTTCCTGGAGAATTTCTTCCAATAAATGTTACTCCATGGACACCTTCAATTGTTCGACGAAAGGAAAATAAATCTGTTGTTATGACAAGTCCTTTGTCAACAACAACTGGTCTTGAATTTGTTGATCATATTTATATCGTTACTCATCCAAGATTGACTGATCGTCATGAAAACTTGAAAAGAATATTGAATAAACACAAAATAACTGATTATGAATGGCGTATGAGATGGACATATGCGGCATGTCGCAATGCAAGTAATAAAAATGAAATATACAGAAAACTTAATTTAGAAAATCGAGGTGAGTTGAATATTGCGAATTCCATCATATTTGAATATTTGTAATAAGTAACAAAGTTTGATACTTAAATATTGTTATCAATTATTTTGTCAACTTTGAAACAAAAAGGTCATTTTATAATAAAATGCAATTTTTTCAATATTTTTGATTGTCTATTGATTGATAATTAATATTTTAGGTAATCCAACGGCTCAACGACGATGTGCAATTTCGATGGAACATGTTGATATATGGCATGATATTGTCGCTCGAAATTCTTCTCTATCACTTATTTTGGAAGATGATGCCATATTTGTACCATATTTTCGGGAGAAATTTCATCGAACTATCTTTACAGCTATTCGTACAGGTATTTTAAAAATTGGTAAACAGATTCAATGTATGAATAATCGATTGTTTTCTTCAATAAATGATCATGAATGGTTTGAACAAGATCCAATGATAGTTATTGGTAGTTGTTTTAATACTCATGATCCTAATTTTTCAATTTATCAATCTGATGCATCACCAATGTTTTCTACACATAAACAGAAATCAGCTCGATGTAGTCATGCATATTTGTTGACTGCGTGTTCCGCAAAAGCTTTATTAAATCAGATTAAAAATCAAAAAAATCGACTTTTAGGATCCGATTTTATGTTGGATATTTATATAGCTGCATCTCCAACAATACAATCATTTTGGCTTGATCCTCCATTAGTCTATCAAGGAAATCAAATTATCGATTTGGATAGAATTCCATCGTTTAAAACAACAACATATTAACTGGTAATTAATCATTAAACAGATCAATTCATACAAAAGGATGAAGTATTTTTCTAATCTCATTATTAACTGTAACATACGTTCGAATTTTTATGTACACATTAAATTGTTAGACGTACAATCAATGAAACTAATTTATAATAATTTCATCATTGGATTTGAAAGAGTTCAAGTACCAATAAAGTTACTTGAAAATATTTTCCACATATTGACTATCTTGTCTAAAGAATAAAAATTCTATTAAATAATCGATTTATTTGAGATTTTTCATGTGTAAAAATTTTTAAAAAGAATATTTGTAAATCACGAGAAAAGTGTCAATGTTTTATGAAAGATAAAATAAACATATATTGATAACATGACAACGCGTGTTGTGATGAATATCATATAAAAAAAATTCATACGTTCTTTCTATATCCTTTCATTGTTGATACAATTTTTTTCTTTTTTTCTCACAATTGTATGATAAGTGATGATAAAGAAGTTATTTTGACGAACGATTTGTTTGTTCTCTTTCTGTCTTCTTCTCCCTCGGCGTCATTGACTGCGTTTGAGAAAGAATCATTTTTTGTTTTTCCTCTATATAAAAAATGTGAACTTTCGTAGGTCATTGGATCTCTGGTTCGATTTTTCTCATGTTAAGTTTTCGGTGAAGTTATTCACCATGGTTACGTTATTTCATTTGTCGATAACATCGTCGATTATCTTATGTTTCCCTTTCATTTCCAGTGTATTTTTGTGGATTGCATGAGCATCTACATTACCTATCGAAGGTATTTTTATCATTACGAAAATGAGTGCTGGATTATATCGTTTAATTGATCCCAAAAGTGGCCATACTTTCTTTTATATAGGAGCAATTTCTGTCGAAGTGATCTCTTTCTATTTTCATGGTCATGGTCAATCTCCAGCAGAAATTCAATTACATGCTCTTCTTATTTTGTCTATTTATAATATAATCATATGTGGAATTTTTGAAATAGTATAACGTGAAAAACAGATTTATGCTTCTTTGATGAAAGCATATTTCTCTTTTATATACAAAGTTCATGATTTTATACGATCGAATTCTTTCTTTACAATCCATTTCACGATGAATATGATGAAAATAAAGATCCATATAAACATCGAACTTTAATTATTATTTCCTATTATTTTGTTATTCATATGATTATTGGATTAGTCGTCTTACTTTTCTTAACTTTACCTGCATATTTCGTTTGAAAGCGAGTTTATCGTCCATCGATACAATACAATTGTCACCAATGTTGATGTCAATGAT